GAGGTGTTTGATGGTCTTATGTTTTACGGCTATACGTCACAATGGAAGCGACAACGCGGATACTAACGTGCAGTTACCCATCCTGAGAATTCGTTAGATGAAGACGAATTTGTTACCATAAGTGCTGACTTTCACACGACTGGCACTACAAAGAGAAGCAAAGTGAAACGCCTACACCTCGATATCACAAGATCATGAAGTTCTACTTAACAAACGGGAGTGCATCCAAAGGGCAAATGTATTTAAGTACAATCGCAGGTTGAAGTGTCGCAGCGAATGGAAGCGTGAGAAGTATAAGTGACTGGGCAACGCTGCCAATCTGGACGACAACAGAGAAGGGCTTTCGAGTGTATCATTGCACCTTCTTGTTGACATTTTAGAGGAAGCTGAAAAGGTGACTTAGAGGATGGAGTCCGGATATGGGGTTGAAGGCAAAAGTCCGACTTTCTCGTAAAAAACTTTTGATTTTGAAGGGAAGTCGTGGCACCCAACTGATTTTCTTCTACATGGGCCTGGAGGAAGTGGGAAGACTACCGTAATTGACTTAGTCATGGCCTATGGCAAAGAATTCTGCGTTTGATTGATCATCCATTTAACGACCGAACCATTGTTGTCACTGCTATGTGGGGGTTGCTGCTACAATACTGCATGGGGAAACAACGCATTCAGCTTGTGGGATTGAACAGAACTCGGGAAGTGTGGCGAAGAACTTTGTAGAAGAATGGAGTGACGCAGGATGCTTACATCGACGAAATTTATTCGCGGGGAACTTGACTTAGTGAAGATATTCCACTACACAAGACCTTGATGCAAGACAATACCAACCATTTGGGGACTTAACTTGGTGTTCGCGGGGACTACTCTCAACTTGAACCAGTGGGACGCCCCCCAATTTACAATCTTAGCACACCATTCCTGAATTTCATGACTCTCTGAATTTCATTTATTGAGTTAGATGGAATGCACCGCTTCAAAGACGATCCTGAATGGGGGCAACGTCTGTTTAAGATTCCGTGAAGGGCGACCAACAGAAGAAGATATTGAGACCATCAATGACGCCTGCGTGGTTGGCCCAACCCATGTTCCACCAGAAGAACATTCAAGTTGCTACTTATCTGAATCGAGATCGAGATGCCATTAACTCACTATCTTCGAAGAATTTTGCGGGAAGAACAAACCTGCTGATGATTCCGTGCTGATGGATGCAGTACTCATTTTCATGGACGATCTTCAAATGGCCAATCAAGCAGGGACACTGGTTCCTGTTAAGAGCAATTCGGTTTAAAGCACTTCTTTTCAACATGTGGAGAAGACTCGTTAAAACCGGTTCGGACTCACGAAAACGTGTTGACCTGCTTTGAAGTTATATAAGGGTGTCCTGTAATGTTTACAGAGAACACGAATGTTCCGAATGGAGAAGCCAATGGATCTCGGCTTTTTGTGAGAAAGGTGAATGTGAGGGATGGTTGCACCCCATGATTATTCAACTCGACAACGGCTGCAAGATTCGGGCTTTTTTCTCAGTGCAAGTCAAATCTATCCTTGTGAACATGAAATGGAGACTATTATGCCACGTACTTTTTATGTAACGGAGCAAGACTACACTTTCAGCACCAGATGGTTTTATGACGGAGAAGTTGTACACACCAAGATGAAGGGTAAGCAGTTCCCGATTATCAGCAATTCTGCGACAACTGGAAACAAATTACAGGGATATACTGCAGTGTGGTTATTGGTACAATTCATGGCGATACTGTCAAAACTGGGCTTACGTGGTGTTATCAAGGGTGCGAACCATGAGTGTTTGTTCTTATTGAAGAAGCTGGATTGGATCCAAAGAACTTTGCCAGCCACAACGAATGAGAGACATGCTTGCAAGATTTAAGGATACTATTGGGCTTTCTGTCCTAGGAGAAGATCAATACGATGAAGTTCCAGCGAGAAGACGGTTCTTGTTATAAGTATAAACGGTAGGATATAGGGTAAATTAATCATATATAAAAACTTTTATACTACAACTACCTTTCTGGATTCGCATTGCACCTCGACGTCATTCAATGTCAGTATTGAAAAAAGATAAAGCGTCCAATCAAATCAAGGCGACTCCGAAAAATAGGAGCCAACTTTTAAATGTGAAGAACGCAAGGCGACTTTCATGTGCATGTACATGCGTTGACTGTATCCCGTCAATACAATACTAGTCGAATACGTAGACTTCTACAGGGCCTTCTAAGTAATGCGCGCCGGGTATAATTCAAACCTCTGCCCCCATCGGTACCATTACCCCTAAAGCAAATCGTCTCCAGGAGACGAAATTCCCCAATCGAATCCTTAACATCTTTGGTCAAATCCTTTACCGTGTTCAACTGGACACACTAGCAAGTCTCCATAGCCAGCCAGTAAGGGTCCAAAGTACTGTGTCCAACAGAACACACAATATCAATCCCTATCCTTAACAAGGAAAATGTCCCTTATGTCTTTGGCAAAACTTACACCGTGTTTATCTGGACATACTAGTGAGTCTGCATAGCCAGCCAGTACTGGTACCCATATGTTGAAACTACTGTGTCCAGCTGAACACACCATATTAATCCCTATCCCTAAAAAAGCAAGTGTCCCTTATGTGACGAAAACAGCTGCAACAAACACACACACACACACACACACACACACACACATACAGCGATAAAAGTGTGAAAGACCCTCAGTCGGTTGAGGGCAAAAAGGCGGGACAAAGTGCCCTTACAGCTCTAAGGGCTTTCGCCGGGGGAGCACTTCCGACTCTCAAGATCGAAAGTGCCGCCACAGGTGTTTCCGTCTGACTGCATACAACGTAGCGGTACGAGTAGCTAGTCTAAAAGTCTTGCCCCAAGTCACAATGCAAGGACTGGGCAACACTGGATCCGGGCAGAGCCTACCGGTACCTCATTGCCACCTACCGTAGGACCGACTACTAATGTTATTTTTAAAACGCTATGATACGAGCTCAGGTTGGAGCTACTACAGCTACGAAGACGATGCATCAGAGGAGTTCTCTGTGTCGTAGGTATCGAAGCTGAGTCCACCAACGAGAAGCAGATCCAGTTGCTGGTTGTGCCGCTTTACAAGTTGCTTGGAGGTTTTGATGTATTGTTGGGCGATGTGGTTCTGTCGTTTTCGAATGTACTCATTGATGGAATGCAGGCCTGCAATTTTGTATGCATAGGCCTGAATCAATGGGAGGATGGGGGGAGGATTCCCAATGGCCCTACATGAATCCGTTGGGGGTTATAGTATTCATTCTACTTGCGCATATGGATTGGTAACCTAAATCATGCCGGTACCGGTTTTATCGCAGCTGGGGTACGAAAGCAAACGGGAGCTGCAATTGTGGCTGCGGGAGTGCATACCCGTGGTCCGTGGTGGTAGATCTCGGCTGGTACCGTACCTTTAGGGGCAGAGGGGCGTACGACGTATCGTACGTATGTATACCAGGTACGGTGACCATGAGGTCCATCCTCTTTCTCTGCGGCTCTTGCAGCTGAAGACGAGTGCGTGCCAGCACAGAAGTACAATAGACCGAAGTACGGTGGCCTTGTGATCCATCCTCTTTCTCCTCTGGAGCACTTGAGCCAGACAACTTAACCTAACAAGTTTACTTTCCCCACTCCTTTGTTGCAAAACTTTACCTTTAAAAGGCTTTTGTGCCGTCGAGCGTAACAGCGGGTGTCGTTTACTACTTCAACGGACCGCAGCAATCCAACACCATGTCGTCTTCAGTCAGCGGGCGCCAGAAAGCTGTGATCTTGATTCCCAAAGTTGGAGGCTTCATTTCATTGTTTTGTTCCTCCTTCATCTTAGGCCATGTTTGTATGAGTAATCAGCGGCGTTCGAATATGTATCATCGGATTCTGGCCCTCATGTCTGCCTCTGACATGGTTGGTTCCACCATCTTTGTCTTGAGTTCCTGGCCAATCCCCCAAGAAACTGGTATCTACTTGGCCAGTGGCACCGTCGATTCCTGTGAAGTTGTGGGATTTGTAAATCAGATTGTTGCGATTCTTACACCAGCATACAATGTATCTCTGGTGCTTTACTACTACCTGACAATTGCCCAGGGTCTGCGTCCCGGAGAGATGTGCAAATACCAATACTACCTCTACTTTGTGCCCCTCGTATATGCCCTTGCCATGGCTATACCAGGCCTTCCCTTGGACTTATACAATGCTGCCAACTTTGTCTGCTGGATTGCACCATATCCTCCTGGTTGTCAAGGCAACGAATTCGAGCGAGGACACAATGCAGATACCTACTAGTACCGAATCGCCTTTCTCTATGGCCATTTATGGTTAATGATGATCGCGGTCGCCTTCTTCATGTTCATGATCTACTATGCCGTCCGAAAGCAGGAACAAGTCGTTCGAAAGTACGCCGGAGGTGGTTCTGGTATGAAGCACTCGAGACGAGTTGCCAATCAAGGGCTCTTGTACGTCATCGTCTTTTTCCTTACCTTTATACCAGGGACCATGACAAGATTGCGTCAAATGACTACGGGACAGGTGGAGTACTGGATCATTATCACCATGACCATTTTCTTGCCTCTTCAGGGCTTCTTCAACCTTATCGGTATGTTCCTCTCTCGGGGCTTCTTCAACCTTATCGGTATGTTCCTCTCTGAGCGCCTCGATGCATGGCACTCTTTTTGTGTGTGGTTCGTCGAACAATTCCCTCACGCCTTCTATTCTGCATTGTGGATAGTGTACCTCTTTCCTCGTTTTCGACGAGTGTGGGTTGCGAACGTTCGAGACACGATGGTGACCGCCACCTCAACAGTGTGGTTCCCTTCTGGCACGTCATCCCGGCGGTCCACCTTGCTGTTGGCCTTTGGTAGTCGCCGTGACGCGAGTCAAAGAGCCTCCCAGGAATGCTCCTCGTGCGAAGCACCCACTCAGCATTCATCATCGAAACACCCACGCACCCAATCTGGAGTGGAGGAAGAAATCCGTCGGTGTGGAAGACGAGGAAGCAAGCACCGATATGAACGAAAGACAGTCCAACCAACAAGACGCTCGATCCTCGCAGTCAGTGACAGTACAAATTCTCGATCCAGAGGATGGAAACTGCAGTGAAAACAGCATCTCCAAGGACAAATCGAGGTTCCTCGACAAAGAAGCGTGTCGAGAAGATGGTGAAACTGCCGTGAGTGAAGCATCGCTCCGCGTCTCGATGCGGATGGAAGCCAGTGCCAGAGAACTCGAACACGTTTCTGTATCATGAAATTGACGGATGTATCCCCCGTTAGTGAGCCGTCATCAAATTAGTTCTTCCTCAGAGGTGGACGATATGGACATTCTGGGGTGGGTCAATTCTGTAAACCCGGCAGGGGGAATTGATTCATTCGATTCATTCCTCTACGACGAGTGTGACGAAACGAAAAGCATTCGTGGCTACGGAGAGACAGGAGGGTATATCAACCAGGCAAGGGTGGGTTCGACTCGACTCTCCGCGATCTGCTCGCCCAGCATCCCCAAACGATTGCCTTTCGAGCGGCGCGAGAAACCAAATTGCAAACCCTGCTACTGAGATGAAAAACGATGGGGACCGAGCTAGTTCGGTTAGATTGCCATGTAGGTTTACTAAATTTGCAATGAAGGAACTGAATCGAGCAAGCTCCATTTAGTCCCACCATTGATACGAGCTCGAAAGTCATATCTGCCAGTCTCATTTGGCGTCCAAAAGCAATATACTTTCTCTTGGGATCTGGATTCAAAGAATGCTTCAGTGCGCAACAAGAGTTTATGCAATCCATGCTTGTTGCCTTGACAAGGTTCACCTCTATGCCAATGCCTCCTTAGACTTCTTCAGTGCTTTCAATTACCAAGTGGAGCACACCAGACTCATAGTTTTGGTCAAGAGCATTCCAAATAATATCAGAGTTCTTTCTCAAGAGTCAGCCGGTAGCATTTCTGTGCGACGGAAAGATGTGTTTTGAGGAGCATTTCGATGGACATGGCTTTCAATGCTTCTTTGTTTTTCTCCCTGGACTGTAAACTGATCAATGTGCTTTATGGTGCTCTCTGGAATAGGACTCTTGAAGATATTTTCATAGGCGGCCTGGCCTGTTCAGCAGCATCAAGTTCTTGCAACCAGCCACTTGATTCATACCTTTCCTTGGGTTCCAACTTGATGAGTTTTGAGATGCTTTCAGTGACGATCTGAAGAACTGTAAAGGCCGTCACGTGGCCAGTAAATGCATGATACCGCCACCCTGGATGCCATGCATTCTTTCCAGCCCTCTCCTCACACATTGTGACATTGCAGCCACTTGTTGTCTGCACATCCAGGCTCTGCTCCTTCCACATCACTGCCACACTTGAAGTATTCGACAGATGGTTCACATCTGTCATCTCAAACATGAAGTCAGGGAACGCTGCTTTGACCACATTGTAAGCCTTCATCAAATAATCCTAAAATGTGATCAAGTGCCCACTTTGAAATACAGAAGAGAGGAACCAGAGTGACCGTCGACGGGTATGCATACATATCAGACTGGAGCAGCTCTGGAGCTCAGTCCATACCGGTACCCGTACCAGAAAATCCAGAAATCTCTTCACGCAGTCCCCTCTTCTCTTTTACCTTGTACCGTACCTCGGTCGGCTTAGCTACGGTAATACCGGTACCAGTACCTGGTATGTACCGGTACCAGGTACCGGGTACTTTCCCTTCCAAGATCAAGCTACCGGTAAGATCCTTAGATCCAAGCTGATCCATCGCTCGTCCCCATTCCCAACATACCGGTAGCTCCAACACCAAGAAGAATCTTAAAATCTCATCAACAGCAAATAATTCACTCCGTGAGAATTAGAGAATTGCGAATGTCTGGAGAACAAAGACTGTTTAGGTGTACAGTACAGCAGGAAACCCGCGATTACATGGAATCCTCAAGGATTTGTCTCAATGGTTCTTTTTTATTCATAGATTCCACTCAGGGGTTCCAATAGACATAGTGTTGATCCCTTCGGTAGCCACGATTCTTTAACTACCAAGATAATCTGGAGACCATATGCCTTAATGTATGTATAATCAGCTGACCAAAGAACATTCCCTGTACCGGTACAGTATAGCTGACGCAAGCGCCTTTTCCAGGCTTACTGTATTTATTTGTTTTGTGAAATCAAGGACTGGTGTTATCACATTGTTATTGCCTCTCATGAGCTGGTTGGCAACAACGCGTTCAAGTCAACAAGTCAACTAATAAAGTCTTCTTTTATTGTTGGTGGTAAAAGAGTTGGTATACGACAAGCAGCGCCAAAGGAGTCGAGTCGAGAGTCGAGTCCAGCTCCTCATTCCTCTATCTTTCTCATACTGTAATGATGATGGCTAGCAGTAGTAAAAGCAGCAGTAGCGGTAGCAGCGACGATGACGGCAACTGTTCGTTTTCAGGGTTGTCATCCTGTGCCTCTGTTCACGACGAATGGGAGCCACCGCCTATGGGTAGCATTGAAGTGGCTACTACCATGGATTCCGGCAATGTGGCGGATAACGCAGCGGCACAGGACGAGGACGCGGAAGCATTCGTTCTAGGTTTGGTGGCGCAACGGGCACAACAAGCCCGCGACCAGTTGGACCAACAACAACAGGACGCTGCAGCATCAGACCTCGCCACACAGCAAGACGCACGCATAAGTGACGAAATCGAGAAAGCTAAGGCCGAAAGTTTCGTCCCTACTAGTGGCGTCACGGAGCAGCCATTTGCAGTCAAAAAGGAGATCCCTCCGACCAACAACGAGTTGGCGGGTGCTTTCAAGACCGACAATGACACGACTTGCCCCAAGTGGGAATCCACAGAGAGTGCCGCTGATGACCCTGTTATTAATGTAACCCCGCAACCAGCCGTGAGCTTACCAGGGGCTGTCCATGTGTCCAATCCTCTGGGTAGCTCGCCGGTGGCGGATCATGACGACGACGACGAGGAAGCTCAGATACAACCATCCGCCGCACCACAAGTACCACCCGTGCCACCCCCTCTGGGTCTAGAACAGTCTTGCCAAGTGTCCGTCACCGCCACCTTGGTCACGGACGAACCCAGTGAGGAGCAGGAAAATACTACAGGCAATTCTCCCACACCACTCGCAGACACCACGGCAAGCCCGGAGCGGATGGATTGTGGTCGATTATTGCTCAGCCTGCAGCCCGTCGTAGAAGGAGAGGCGGTTCGACCGGAGAAAGAGAATCGTCGACATAGACACTGCTTCGTTCGTTTCTCGCTTGTAGGGATTATTGTAATGGTTGGAGTGATTATCTTGATGATTCTTGGACTTGCAGGAGTCCTAAACGGAGGAAATGATCCAGAAGATGGTGTTCCGCTCAGCCGCCCGGACACGTCGATATCGTCACCCACCTTGGCCAAGATCCAGAAAGAGGGCGTCCTCCGATGCGCCCACAATGTGTTTTTAGCTTCGGACTTATACCAATTCGAAGAAGCCTTGGTAAGTCGAAAGGGTCGATCGAGACGCTCTCACAGCCACACTCACACAATGCCGTACATCTATCTGACCACACTCCTTCCCTTCACGCATGATCATCCTATATAGTGCCGCACCATGGCAGCTGCCATTCTGGGAGACGCTGCCAAAATCGAGTTGGTCAACCTCCCATTAATGTCCCACCGCTTTTCGGGGCTTGCCGATGGCGAGGTGGATGTCCTTATTCGATCCATCACACACACCATGGAACGCGATGTTTCGGAATCCACCACGGGAGCCGCATTTACGTTCTCCTCGCCCTATATCTACGAAGGCATGAAAGTTGCGGGAACGAAACAGTCTGTCGACTGTGTGGAGAATGGATTTCGGCACATTGAAGAGTGCACCGAGCTCCGTGTTTGCGCCTTTGAAGGTGGCACGCATCACAGGGCCCTGATGAAGGTACTACCAGAACGATACATTGTGCCACTTCCATTACTGCACACGTTTGCGGAATACATTGCAAACATTGAGGCTGGAGTGTGCAATGCAGTGGCCTCAACACCGTACTCCCTTGCCGAAAAGAATGCCCGTGAAAATGGCTACAAGGGCGATTATGCAATCACGAAACAGTACTTTAGCAAGGACCCCATCTCCATGGTAACCCGATCGGACGATGCGGTCTTTTCAGGTGCGTAACGGCGCATGAAATATATTGTACATGTACGTCGCGCACATCTGGTATGCCGCTGACTTTGTTTTTTCCTGTCTCCTAGACTTTGTAAATTCCATCCTCCAAGCTCTCTTCGTGGCTGAGCAACATGGCATCACAAAGGATCTGGCACACTTGTTTCCGTTGACAAATGCTGCCTTATTCGGGAATGAATACGACAGTGCATTTCGAAACGCTATAGCAACCAACGGAAACTTTGGGGAGATGTACGCTACATGTTTGGGCAACGCAATGCCTCGAGACGCCCTGAACTCTCTCAACGATGGATCCACGGGGCTCATCTACTCCTACCCGTTTGGCATGATTGGGCACGGTAGAGAGGACAAGCCCCTGGGACATCGAATGCAAGGCGTCGTAGATCGCGGCGTTCTGCGGTGCGGGGCTCGATTCAACCGTCCGAACTTGGCTACGGCAGAAACGAAAACCGGCATGGACTTCGAGTATTGCTTTGCCGTGGCAGCGGCGTTGTTTGGTGGCAACAAGGACGCAGTAGAATTCGTGGAGGTCGACTCCAGCACAGCCGGTTTTGCTCTCCTTGCTGCGGGGAGCATTGATCTCCTTGCGGGGGCCACACACACGCTCCAAAATGGGGTCCGAGAACCAACGACTGGGATTGGATTTGCCTTTACGCAGCCCTATTTTTATGGGCGCGTCCAGGAAGCCGAAGAGGACAATTCGTGTTTGGCAACTCATCAGGATGATAAGGACTGGTCGTCCTTCGTGTTTTGGATTGTGGCTGCAACGTTTTTTGCGGAAGAAAATGACATCAACCAACATCTTTCCAATAGCATGCCAGAGGTCTTTGTGTACGGGGACAGCTTCAAACGAATGTTTCGGGACACTGTTTTGGCAGTGGGCAACTATGGCGAGATCTTTCAGCGCAGCGGGCTTCCTCGAACGGGAAGAAACCAGTTGAACGTGAACCCGAATCTGGGGCCCCAGCACTACGCTCTTCCGGGCTTCTTCGATCCGTAGTATAACCTAGAGTAGCAGTCCACGTGCTTCATGCAGGCACGCAAGCTCTTATATCTACCACCAAAGAGCTTGTCACCGAGCGGCTACAAAGCTTGGCCTTCCAGGAGCCAGGAGGACTGGGGCACTTTGATGATATTGAAAGTGACCACAAATGCTCTTTCCTCGCTTTCGGTTCCAAATCTACCTACCAGCCCGTCAAAGTGAAGGCAACCAGGATTTATCCGCTACATTGCAGCCACATCTGTTCTTGTCACACAATCCTGTGATGACTGGGACGTAGTCTACCGCATTCGGTAACAACAACCGAAGCCAGTTGGAGGCCTTGGACTTGATGAAACTTCCATCCGTGGTCTCCACGAGGCAATATCATTGCAGCTTCTGAACCGGTACCCCAACAACATTCCTAGCTAGCTATAGCTACAGAGCTCCCCGCCAGGAACAGAGGTGCTGACTAAAGCTCGCAGCAGTACTAGCAATCCGAAGATCCGTCACCAGGGACACATCGCGAATGTTGAACTTTATGGCATTGCGAACGTGAAACTTGTTTCACAGCAGTTGTGAAATTGTGTGGATTCTACACGGCGAATTCTCACACATTCCTTGGAAACGGCCTTCTAAAAACGTGAAATAATTGAAACTAGCTACTCAGTACAAGCTGTCAAGCTAGTACGGTAGACACGACCTCACAGCTATGCATACTACCATAGCTAGCTAGGCAGTACTCGGAGTACTCAGTTTCACCATTGTGGAACTATTACTACGGTAAAGAGCAATTAGTTAGGAGCCCGTTTCCGGACGTTGCTGCATCTACAGTCAACTGTATTCCGTTAAAACCCACCTCACTTTGACTGGTAGGCTTCGCACTTCAAACGTCCAAGCCAAGCATCACGTTTCACGTTCTTTGTGGAAGGTGCTACCGGTATTTAATAACGGACGGTCGGGAAATCATTTACACTCCAAACTCACTTATAAGCAAGTTCTAAATTCGGTGCAGCCCTGGGGTATTCTTACTGTGACAGCTCTGTGACCCACCATTTTGGACCCTCAGATTGTTTCTAACAAAACAAGCCAAGTTCAGCATAGAAGACTTTCTTACTAAGCTTCTAGCTAGGTCAAGCGGGTTATTAGTACTTGGATACACCCAGTGCACCTGGGCATTTTCGTCCAACTTGCTCAGGACTCGTAAATTGGTTTGGATCAAATAGAGATGGTGATCACTGTTTTGGCAGATTTAGGTACAAGTAAGTTTGAAGCATTTTCATGGTGTCAGACTACGATGTTTAGTATTTCCACTCTTTGAGGTCTCAATACTGGGAAGTTTTCTTGCAGTCACAAGGAAATACAGGCTGAATGGTTTCTTAACATTCTCTAAAAGCTCAGGGCTCACCTTCAGGAGTTTGGAGTGGATGTCTTATGATGTATTAATAATACAGAGTGGGAATTTCTAGCTGAATTTCTCCTATCTCATCGTATTGAAGTGTGAACCAGAGGTACAGTCGAAGGGTATCCAGTAGCACTGCGACAGGTGGCAGACAGATACCAGTACGGCTGTACTGAGTACTCTAACGGTAGATAGAGGTAGGTGAACAGGTGAACCGTTTCGCTGGCTCTTTACTCTGGTGGTTAGGAGGAAGTTCAACTCGCGTTCCGACTTTGGGTGTTAGCGGAGTTGCGTGTCCTGCCAGCGCTGATAACAATAAAAAACATAAACTGAAAGTGCTACTTGTAGAAGTCAAGAGTCAGGCTGTCACTCATTGCTTGATTGATTGATGAAACCCTCCCCTGTCCTCCTCCCTTCGTACTGGACCAGCAGCAAACAGTTTTCTACAGTAGTATCTACACACTGCCGTCTGTCACAATGGAATCTCCGCATGGCGGCGACGAACCCCATAGCTCAGACACAGCCAGCCATGGTACTACTACTGGCAGTGAACAGTTGATTGCAGAGGCGTCCAACATGGCGGTCGAATCCAACGGTTCTGCTACCGTTTCTTCTATTGACGGTACCAGTATGGTTTCGAATGATGACACGAGCAAAGAACGGTACAGCGAAAAACCAATGGATAAGGACGAGTTTGATGATATCTTTGCCTCCAAAGCTAGAGAAGAACCGGAGATTGCCAAGGATGGAAAGGAAATCTACCGCAGTAGTGGTATTTCTGAGAAGACTGAAAAATCTCCACAGCAGCCAGAATCCAATACAGAGAGAACGGATGGTGATCCGTCACAATCACCAGCCGCCGTTGGCGCCTTTTTTGAGAGAATCACGAATGGCATTCAGCCATTGCCACCGCAACCACCTAGAGGCGCAACCACCGGAACACCGGGTGCGTATCACGAAGGTCCCAGTTTGGACGGAAGAGGTGTTGGCTTCATTACGGCGTACCAAAATATTGGTCCAACCACAGAGGAAACCTTCGTGGAGCCAAACAACAACACTCGATATGGCTCTTCCTCAAGTCTGATACAGGCAAGGGCTGTACCTGAAGAGGAACAGGTGGATGGTATGGTTCATGCGGAGCCTGTGGACACTACAACCTCAGATCTGGATCCTAGCCAAAGTGAATCTACGTGGTCCGGCAAACGTCGAAGCGCACATTCTAAGTACCACAAAATGTTGGTGGCAGCCCTGGTATGCCTTGTTCTGGGAAGTGTACTGACAGTCATTGGGGTGCTAGTGTCTCGAAATAATAAACGAAAAGAGGATTCAGAGACACTGTTTCTTCGAACCCCTACCATGGCCCCGACAATGTTGACCTCCACTGATTACCTTTGGAACATACTCCCAGAGGCAACACAACAATCCATTGATTTGCAACTGATTGTTGCTCAAGATGAACCACCTGCAGCTTCAACAACCAAGAACAAAACATATTATGAGACTCCCCAAACACAGGCCTTTCAGTGGCTGATTGAAGATGCTGCACTCTGGAACTATTCCTCTACTTCTCGATTGTATCAAAGGTTTGCCTTGGCAACACTCTACTATGCCACTCAAGGAAAGCTGTGGCACGACAAGGCCAACTGGCTGGACTACAATCAACATGAATGCGACTGGTTTGCTGCCAATGAGTTCCGAATTGGAGGACCTCCTGTCCTGGCAGATTCTCCTTGTGGCGATGGTACAGTGAACAAGACATCGGATGGTATCTTCAAGAGACTGTGGTTGCCAGACAACAATTTGAATGGGACCTTTCCCAGCAATGAAATCTATGGAATGCTGACCAATCTGGAGAGCATTAATTTGTTCAAGAACCCTGCACTTACCGGGAGTGCCATGTCAAGCCAGATTGGTCAGCTGTCAAATCTCTCGATGATTTCATTTTCCATCTGTGCCGTGTCAGGAACTGTCCCCAGTGAGATTGGGCTACTCAGTTCTTCGCTTGAAATCATGTACTTTTCCAAAATCAAACAGTGGACCCCAGCTGCCACTTCCAAACCCCACAATCGGCTTATTAGTGGTATGCTCCCCACAGAACTCGGTTTGCTCACGGCCCTAAAGCATTTGAGCTTCAACAACAATTTTCTGTCTGGGACATTGCCAACAGAGCTAGGTGCCCTCCCTAGTCTGGAGTTGTTTCAAATCCCAGGGAACAACGTGACTGGAAGCTTTCCCTCTGAGTTGGGACAAACTAGGTATGTACCATCATTTATTTGGGTGCCAATAGATTGGTCATTGGTCTCTCTATTCTGATGTGTGCTTGACTTTGAAAACCTTGCAGGCTTCTGTACTTGTATGTCTATGACAATCGTATGACAGGAGTTCTGCCAACTGAGCTTGGTCTCCTCCGCAACATGACCCATGCCCACCTTTATCATAACAGTTTCCAAGGAAGAGTCCCATCACAGGTTGGGGCCCTCACATCCATGAAGGAACTCATGCTTGCTGGCAACTCTTTGCATGGTTCAATGCCTTCTGAACTGGCCAATCTTAGTGCACTACGCATGCTCTATTTGGCACACAACCCAGAAATGACTGGGTCCTTTCCCACCCAACTTTATAACCTCAGCAAATTGGAGGCCTTGGACTTCAATGAAACGTCCATCTATCTCGACAGAGAAGTGGGGAACATCAGTGCTGTTGGGCGTGTACCCCAACACATTCACGATGCCCTCAACTTCAGTTTTTGGGACTACTACTACAAGTGTTTTCGAAGGTTCCCCTGCCCAGCCTAGCTAGCTAGCTAGCTAGCAGTTTTGGAATGGTATCATTCTGCAACTTTGGATTGCCCATGCATGCGCCTAGCCAGGCACATGTGATGAGACATGTTCTATTATGCCTTCTACATCGCTACAAGTTGGACAAAATACAACAGTAGTAGATGTTATTAGGACATGGTAATGCACACACGTAGCTAGCTGGCTGGGCTGGTTCAAAGTTGGCTGTTGGATTGCTGCGACCTCCTTACGGTGATTCTGGTTCGCGACGCCTTGCATAGGCATGCCTTGTGGCAATGTAGAACCAGTAGCTGGCCAACACGCAAGTAAAGGAGAGGATAGCAATAATGATATGAGCCCCAAAGAAGCATTGCTGTCCAAAACAAGTGCGACTCCCTTCGCTTTCAATGTGTCGTTCGTAGACATCTTGCGTTACGAACTTGCTGAGCAGCAGTGTCCCAAAGGCGCTGGAAATGCCGTCGTACAACATGTAGTTGGCACCCATATTGGCTGTTCCAAAAACTTCTCCAACAATGAGGACCTATGACAGGGACACGATCGTGTCAGGAAAAATCAGACATTGCAAAAGGTGGCTCCAGCCTCAAGAGGTTGACACCTCATCTCACAATCTTACTTACCATGAGAGGCCAAATCATACCAAACGCAGCCCCCGAAAAGCAAACGCCCAGGAGGAAAAAGTTGCGAGTGGTGGTCAGGGACAAGAAGACGTGTGCCAAGACTCCGGCCAGGGAGGCCACCATCAAGAATGCCGGCCGGGGGATTCCCTGCAATTCGTACTGGTCCCCTGATTTGGTCGTGTACTGCCAGGCAATATTCCAGGACAAGGCGGAATCCGAGACGGCGCCGGTAATGACGCGAGAGGCTGCTTGGGCGACGCTAAAGAGTGCCAAACTGGCGGGGGTTGTCGTGTGCATGGGTATTAGATGAAGTGATTCTACCATTTGTCCCATATTGTTGGTGACCATGGTGCCCCCGCCGACTCGAATGATGGCAATCCAGAGAAATAGCCATGCGGGTGTGGTCTGTAGCATTTCTCGCAAAGTAAAGTTGGGAACAGGGATACATTCGGATCGACGAATTTTGGCTCCCAGCATTCCCTCCGGAGCATCGCTCTTGATTTGCACGGATTGGGTAATTTCCGCACCATACGCCAGAGCCGGCGAGGATGAGGATTTGGAGAGTGGCTTCCAGTTGAATGGCTGCTGCTCATCTTCTTCCTCGTCGTCATCCTGATCGGTGCTTCCGTACTCTACAATGCTGGCCACAATGTCTCTTATATCCTGCACTTCCTCGTGCGAAATTTCCTCGTAGTGATTGTCGTGTAACCATCTCGATTTGGGTGGCAAAATCAAGAGTCCTAGTATCGGTCCAATCCATGCAGTAATCACCAACAAGGCCCGACCATACTGAGGATGAGCTGTCGCAGTCTGGAATTCGGCATCTTCTTCCTCGTCGTGGTAGGAATCTTCCCCCAGTGACGCCAGTGTGGTTCCCACGACAATACTGGCCAATCCGATCAATCCCACATACAAGAACCTCAAATGCTGTGCCGTGGTTTGATCCAAATGAATACGGGGTGTCGTGTCCAAAATATGATCGAGCTCTGCCTTGTTGGGTAACAACATCATGGCGGGCAAACTGCCGGCCACCACGGCCAGAATGGCGGCCAGTGGTAAAAAGTCCAAGTCACTGACCAGTGGTGTTTTGAGGGCCCGAAACAAACAGGCATAGACGCCACTGCCCAGTCCGACGTAACCTTTCGCGGCGCCTACGGCGGATCCTTTGGTATGGGGCGCACATGTGGCGACAATGAGTTTGAAGATACTGCCAATGACCAACCCGTTGGTCATGAAAATCAAGACTCCCAACAAGCACAGTGTGGGCAGGATGGTGTGATGCGAAACTGGAATCAATTGTCGTGCCACGGCCCAATATGCCGTCATAAAGGTGGCTCCCAGACCACCACCGAGTATCAGCGAGAATTTGACACCGTAGCGATCCACCAGGAGACCTGGAATCCAAGTGAGCAATCCGGCACAAAAGTTGGCCGATGACAGCGTATCCAGCTGCGATTGACTCAGTTGGAGCATTTCCTTGAGCTCGGAGCTGTACAAGCCAAATGCTATAATACAATACCATCGTGAATGAATGAATGAATGAATGATGAGACTGACACTGGAATTCGGCTTTGTTTCTGGAGGCAACATGTCACACGTACCATAGGTTGGTCCTCCTGTAGTCAAGGCGGCCAACAAGGCACATGTCAAGAGAGGGATATTGCTGGGAGGGATATCGCCATGGTGATGGTGGTAAGGCTTCATCTTTGTGCTGTATTCTCAGTCGTTGTCGACTTTTCTCGTCAGTAGATCACAGCCAATGCTACCGAAAACTAGGATACCCAAAAGACACTCTAAGAATAGAAAGATACAGGTTGCAAGCTGTCTGCTAAGGAGGGAGTGAGTGATGGCTTTATCCAACCCAAAAACTTGGTTGGGAGCAACGAGCAATGGGTTGTCGGTTTTGTGGGTATCTGACGCATTGAGCCAGATGTTCGATGTCATTTTTCTTTGCTTCTTGGTGTCAACATGTGATGTGTCTTCCTGCAGCAGTTTCGTTTTGGTGGGAGTTGAACCTGGATTCGCGAAAAGGGTTAAAGTTAGTGCCGGTAGGTTGAAACCCGGGACCGGACGGGGGACTCAAGAGCTCAACCATCCCAACACGGTTGGGCCGGGAGTA